CTTTACTAATCTATCTATCTATCTATCTATCTATCTATCTATCTATCTATCTATCTAACGACATTCCTACACGCATACATCCATAGACAGTGAGTATTTACGCAGCAAATGTTATTAAAGATAACAGACATTTTGTGTCGATTAGTTTTATTGATCGATTTTTCCCGAATTACGAATAATTCTCAGATAAGGAGAAAATTCTATCAGAAATTGTCCAAAGTTCATTTCGGAAGAAACATGATTCAAGCATTCAATTTTCTTACGTCATCATCAGTTTAAATATAGACTACCTCTAGTCTCTGGAAAAAATCGGTCAATAAAATTAATCAATACTAAATATCTGTTGTCTTTAATAATATTTGCCTTAAACATACATAAATATATGCAAAAGGTCAGCCACAGCATTTCAATGAATTGCCTAAAGATTGAGGATTTCGTGCCTTTTTCAAAACAAATTTACTAGCTCAATTCGGACCAGAGGAACTTTCTCTTCCTGAAATGTTAATAATAATAATAATAATAATTATTATTATTATTATTATTAATTTTATTATTATTATTATTATTATCATCATCATTCGATTTCTGCTATGGACACACTACCTACCAAGTCTGCGGAAAGACCTAAGGCAGGTCGTGGTGTGTTGTTATAAGCACATTTCATGTTAATTTTTTTTTTTTTTTTTTTTTTATCTCCGATGAAGTTGCTAGCGTTACATAGACAAAGTTCTCCTTATGTGTGTGCTGTACTTAATAAGACAATTTTCTGTATGTCTCTTAAGCTGGGGTTTCAGGGATTCTTTCAATGTGTTGTTTTGTTCCATTTTTATAATTCCAAAGTGCACCTATTACCACTGGTATTATTCTTGTTTTCAATTTCCACATTTTTCTATTTCAATTTCCAGGTCTTTGTATTTTGATAGTTTTCAAATTCCTTGGTTGCTATGTTACAATCCGGGACAAGCCATATCAATTAGTAGGCAAGTTTTTTTTTTCTGGTTTTTGACAATAATGTCCGGCCTATTTGCTTCCAATTTTTCTGTCTGTGTGGATGGTATAATCCCATAGAATGGTGACATCTTCTATTTCTGTAACCGGCGCTGGCCGATGTTCATACCAGTGTTTGCTTACACATTTTCCAAAGTGTTTGCACATTGTCCAGTGTAAGTATTGCCCCAACTCTATCGTGACGATTTTTATATTCATTTGGGGCAAGTATAGAACATCCTGAGATTAGATGGTCTATTGTTTCTTGGTATTTGTCACAGAACCTGCATTTTGGATCCACATTATTATGTATGATATTTGCCTGAAAATTCCTAGTGAAAAAAGACTCTGGTCTTGCGCTGCAAGAATAAAGCCTTCAGTTTCAGACTTTTAATCCAGATGCTCGTAACCATCGATGAGTATTAACTTTATCAACATTGGGTTTATTTGCACGTTCTGGATATTGGCCATGCAGAGGTTTGTCTTGCCAGCGTTGTTTCATCTGTTCAAGGGCTTTATTCTTGGCTTTCTTTTTTTTCATATCTTTTGCTGCAATAGTTGGTTCTTGGCTTCTGTTTTGATTTACTACAGAATCTACTAAACAAATGTTGTTTTTGTATTTACTGCCTTCTTTTATTATTGAATATTTTTTCTTTCTGTTTTTCATGTTGTTTCACTAATTTTATCATCCAGTCATTTGTTGTTTCCATGTAAGTTAGTAAGCCAATAGTTGTTGTCTTGTATGACAATTCTAGCTGAATAAGACCTCTTCCACCTTCTTTACGGGGTATGTATTCTACATCAGCCTTTGGATGATGCATCTTATACTTAGAAAGAAGCTTTCTTGTTTTTAGAATCCATTTGTCTGATGTCATTTAGAGTCCAGTTCAAGATGTTGAAACTATATTGGACCACTGGGATGGCAAGGTTATTAATGGCCATAATTCTGTTCTGAGAATTCAATTCAGTTTTTAATACCAGTCGTACCCTTCTATAGTACTCTTTACGCACTATTTCTTTTCATTTTCTTATGGTGAATTCCTTCACTCTCATTTACACCCTTACTTATAAGATCCTTGTTCTAAATCTTTTATTGTTACAGCAGGGTCTAAACTAATAGAGGAAGTTTGTTGTGATCCTCGTAAAACTGTAGCTTTAGCACATTTATCCAAATTGAATTTCATTCCAATGTCTTCACTGAAGCATTTTACAGTTTGCAGAAGACCTTCCAGCTCATTGTCATTCCTAGCATACAATTTTAAGTCATCCATGTAAAAATAGATGGTTTATTTTCTTTTTTGAGCTATTTTGTAACCGCATTCTGTCTTGTTAAGTTGGCTGGTTAATGCTATAGTGATATGCAAAATAATAAAAAAGGAGACAAAGAGTCACCTTGATTATTATTATTATTATTATTATTATTATTATTATTATATTATAGCCAAATTAATTAACC